CACACACACACACACACACACACACACACACACACACACACACACACTGCAGCTGAGCTAGTGCTTGCTTCTACCACCCTTAGAAGCAAGCCCGAGGTTCTGCTCCCCAAAGCTGTCTGGTTTCCTTCACTGATTGCTCCTTGGGTTAAAATTAACTTCCTAGGGTAAGCCTACCCAAGAAGACTAGATTAGACAGTGTGCTCACCATGCATGTCACCAAAATCACTTTTGTCCTTATCCAGTGAGTATTTAAGAGCTGTTATATATCAGCACTTTGTTAATAACTGATAATTAAATGCTTTTAGAACATATAGATATTAGCAGGTAATCAAATAGCTATATTATTTCCAGTTCTAAATGAAGAAGGTGGTAAACTGTGAAAAGGGAGGAGCCTACTGACTTTCAGAAACTGAAGTGAGCGAAGACAGTCATCCTACTGCTGTCTTTTTATTTAAAGATTCCTTTCTTTATTACGTATAGTATTCTGCCTGCACATATGCCTGCATCCCAGAAGAGGGCACCAGATCTCGTTATAGATGGTTGTGAGCCACCATGCTGGGAACTCAGGCCCTCTGGAAGAGCACCCAATGCTCTTAACCTCTGAGCCATCTCTCCAGGCCCCTACTGCTGTCTTAAGATGCAACTTTTGTGAGGCTGTAAACTGACTTAAACACCTTAGCAAGAAATGATGGCACAGGAGCTGCTTGCTACTCTTCAAAGAATGAATGCAGAGCTTTGAGATTGTTTAAGCCATAAGAAACTGTGTAAATAATTCTATATTCTGTCTCATAGAAAGCACAGTATGACTATAGCATTTTACATGCTTATTCATACAACACACAGTAATGTATCTCTTCAAAACATAGTTATTAGAATCTATTAGATAGTCAGCATTTTTCTCTGTGATTGGAGTAAAGCAAGGACTAGAACAAAGTCTCAGTTATCATGGAACTAACATTTTAGTGAGAGAAACGGAGATAAGCAAGTCAGGAAGCAGTATTTTTAAAATTAATTATTTTTATTATTTATTTATTTTATTCGCTTTACATCCTGGTTGTAGCCTCATACCTCCCTCTCCCCTATCAGTTGCACCCTCCTTCCCTCCCACATCACCTATTCCTCAGAAAACGGGAGCTCCCTTCCTCATCCAGCCCAGCTCATCAAGTTGCATCAGAACTAAGCATGTCCTCTTCCCCAGTGGCCTGATAAGACAGTCCCACCAGGGAGAAGTGATCAAAAAGCTGGCTAGTGAATCCTTGTTCCATGCAGTCCCCACTTCCCTTACTAGAGAACCCACATGAAGCCTAAATTGCCCATCTGCTACATCTTTGTAGTGGGCCTAGGTCCAGGTCCTGCATGGTCCTTGGTTGATGCCAGTCTCAGCAAGCCCCTCTGGGTCCCGGTTTGTTGGCCCTGATGCTCTTCTTGTGGAGTTCCTGTCACCTCCAGGTCCTTTTCTCTTTCCTCCCACTTTCCCACAAGACTCCCTACGTATTACCCAATGTTCAGCTGTGAGTCTGAGCATCTGTTTTGAGGTGCTGCTGGGTAGAGCCTCTCGGAGGACCACTCTTGTCTGCAAGCTTAGCAGAGTATCCTTCACGGTGTCAGGGGCTGGCGGTCTCCTATAGGTGTTTGGTTGGTCCAGGCACTGGTTGGGTAGTCCCTCAACCTCTGCTCTACTTCAAGTTTGTGTATATAGGCTGGTGTTCCCCTCCCTCTACCATCTGATAGGAAAAAACGAGAAGCATCCCTCATTGTACAAAACTATTTGCTCCCTACTTTGAAAACTTGGATCGGATAGGAAGAGGTGCCTTAAAAACCTCTCCAGTCTCTGAATTACAGATAGCAAGTGTTACAAGTTAGATAGCAAAACATCTGTCAATGAATTTCACTGACTCTTTCATCCCCAGTCATGTGGTAAAGAATAGTCAAAGAGGAGGGAGCAGGGGGCTGGAGGATGGCCATCCTCAAGAGGTGGTCAGGACCTTGAGTGGGAGGAGAAACCTGCTGACGCAGACTTCTGAAGGCGAGCCTACAGCTGGAAGTCCTAGGAAAAAAAAAAAAAAAAAAGAGTTCCTAGCTCCAAAGCTTCTAGTGACTGAAGGGCGTCTGGAAAGCAGTGTAGCCGTCCATCACAGAACCCACCTGCATAGCCATCCATCTCTTGCCTTCCCTGACACCAGTTTTCTTCAAAACATGCATCAGTAGCTGACACTGTATAGTGATTTGCCTTTTATGGTCCCTTGTGACTTCATAAACATGTGTATTTGATAGTGGTATAATGACATATTTTAAGAAAGTGATGAATATAGGTAGATTTTCAATGGTTTAGAAAGCAGTTCCTGTAAGGCTACACTTAGCTGCCATCTATGAAACGCTCCCCAGGAAGAGAAAGGACACTTTCTTTTTCTATCCTCATCTGAGACTGCCAGCACTGGCAGACAAGCAAGTCTCTTCATTTCAGAGAATTCCAGATGCCCAGTGCCAACAACTGATCATTGCTGTTCCCTGCCATTTAAGCATATTGATCATGTTACTTCCAATTTCTTAGTTCAGAGAACTAAGATCCCAAGGAACTAAAAATATGTCACTGTTATGACAGTTCATTTTAAATGACTCTCAAATTGAATTCCAACTATCTAGAAAAAGAGTTGGCTCGGGACCTACGTGATGCATACTGACTTTCTATGTAAAACCTTGCTGACTGGAACTGGACTGGACTGGACTACAGTCAGACTCTAATCGCCATAGCCTTTGATTAGCAGATTGCATGTGTTGGCGTCATGGCCTTTATAGACGGCCTGCTAAGTTCTTGTGACAGAAAGTGCTCTGCTGGAGGCTGATAGTGGCAAACCTCTTGAGCCAGCTAAGAAGTCAAAAGCAGAACTGTATGCATGTTTATGTTCCCAGCATCTTGTGGAGTGATGTCTAAGTGGCTGCTATTCTCATCAGACTTTATTGTGTTGTTCATTTTAACAATATAATAAACTGATCCTTATAGCCTTTTATTACATGCACACAATTGTAAGAAAGCATTGTTTTTATCAGGTATCTTCAGGACTGGCTGCAATGTCTTCCTCTGTGGCCTAGCAGGACTGCTCCTCCCTGGGGGTGGGGGAGGAGATCAAAGAGCCAGCCACTAAGTTCATGTCATATTTCTTTTTGAAAGAATTATATGACAAGTTCTATGGGTAATAGTTTACCAATATCTGTATAAAAAAAAAAAAAAAAGAATGCATTGCTCAAGTTACTACAGAGTGTTTTCTTCACAGATGTTTTTATTTTCCCTACTAATGAAGTTCTCTGACCCATTTCAACCATCTTCCCTTATAGGAAATGGGTGGGGTTACTTGGGTCAGTCTCTCCAAAGTTACTATAAATCAACAGAGCAGGAGCAGATAACACCCTAAGAAGGGGAGAAAGCTTTATTCGTGTCACCTCCCATCTTATCAGGAGCTCTGTAGCAGAGTTCTAGAGCAAGTTGGCTCTGACAACCTGGAGACAGCATCAATTCTCAGGGAACTTGTTATCTAAAACCTGATTCACTGGTCCTTTCTGCTCATGCTGAGGCCACTTACTGAAAGAATATTTAAAGAAGCACATCCCACAGAAACCCATGTAAGCCCATAGTATGAATAAAACAAGAAAATTTCAAATATAAAAATAATAGCATCCCCATAAAAGCAATGGTTCTCAGGGATATATGGGAATATCTAAGTTCTCTGAAGGCACAATTTAAGTCAACTGCTTATATGAACCAAAAAGTATCATCTTAATGAAGTGTGGGACCAGGGATGCCTAAAGCATTACAAAACTACTTTAAAAATCAAGATACCTTCATCTTTAAGCAATTACATTTAGTGTTAGTAAAGCCCTTCCTATATTTGCTTCTGTACTCTGCCATCCCATTCCCATCCTGATTTAATCTTCCTGTTTACTTTCCTCTTTATTCCTATATAACACTAAATTCTGGTCCCCCTTCTTTGGAAGATGTACCCATTCCCCATCCATCCCTTACTAGGTATTTAACTTCTCTGGGCAGATATTCTAAATGAAATGCAAATATCTATAGCTTAAAAACTAACGCCCACATGTGAGAGAAAATATATGATGTTTATCTTTCTGGGTCTGAGCTTCCTTCTCTCAGGATAATTGTTGCTACCTCCATCCATTTACCTGCAAAACTTACACTTTCGGTTTTCTTTC